GTATTTCACCTCGTGTCCAGGGTCCGCCACGCGTGTCTCTGTTTCTGGCCGCTGCCTCCTGCCCTGGGTCCTACATACAGTATATTCAGGATGCTGCTGCCTATTCTGCACATCCCCTGAGAGCACCTGTCAGGAATATTCACCATGACCCTGGTTTGGATCAGCTTAAGCCTCATCAGTATCCAGGGAACAGTTTCTGGATGTGACTGTCAGCAGCTGCCCACAGGGTTTCTGGGAAGACCTTGGGCCCCCACACCAAGGAAACTCCTTAGCAGTGTGGTGGAGTCTGACCAGCACCCTGGGGCACGTTCCTTTCTCCTGACGGACAAAGCCAGCTCTCCATCTCCACACAGGGTGAGTGCCACCAAGTCCTCTAGCCACTGCCTGGGTCACTCCTGAGTCCATGTGCACCCTGAACAGTAGGGCTGTGCACCCCAGAACCTTGGACATCACAGGATACTGCTGTGCACACCCCAGAAAGAGGACAGCAGATTGTTCAGAGTATCCAGCACCTCTGGTTGGTCCATGCCTGGCACCCAGGGAGTAACCAGCACTCCTGGTCAGTCAGACCTGGAGCCAGACACCTGGAGAGGTGGCCCGCACAGCTGCCCACTATGGGGTTTCACTTCTCCCTTGTTCTGCTCCACAGAGAAGCTGAGGAGCTTCCTGCTCAGAGGCCCACTTCACTGGTATTTGTCTCTTTAAGGTTTAAGGCACACAGGGTGAAGCTGACAGATTCAAAGCGTGGTGGTCAGCAGAATCTAATGAGCGCAGGTCAGGGTAGTCCACACCCCCAGAGGAGACGTCTCCTGTTTCTGTCACCTCAGTCCATTGCAGAACGGCACACAAATGGAATCTGCTCACTCCATGCCTTGCCTCCATCCCTAACAAGGCCTCACACCGCCCATCCTGTCGCTGGATTTAGCAACTGTCCCCTGTGCTACTGAAGCCTGTCTCTGCCTGTTGGACCTGTGGCTTGATCTCTACTGTAGAGTCTTCCTGACTTTCCTGCACATGTGACAGTGGACTCAAGACAACATGTAGGTCTAGGCCTGCGGGGTCACAGTGCGGGCACCAGTCTAACAAAAACGGGGCTGTGGGGCTCTGAAAGTTCGAGTCCTCATGGCCCCATGTCTTTGCCAGATTTCTCCATGTTGGCATTCAGGGAGTGTGCTGGGTTCCATTGGCACTTCTCAGAGACTCTCTCCCCTTCTCGTCTGCCCAGAGTGCATCCTGCAGGCATTCTCCTTTGTTGGTGAGAGTCTGCTTTGAGCATTCGGCTGTTTTCACTGGCTTGCAGGGATTCTTTCTATGTCCTCCTACAAGTCCTTTGTCAGAGTGGTTGTTGTTAGGTGCCAGTGAGTTGAATACAACTCATGGTGTCCCTGTGAATAACAGGTCTGAGCCCTGTCCTGGCCCGTGCCATCCCCACTACCTCTGACACGCCTGAATCCATGGTATCAACCCACCTGTTAAAGGTCTCTCTCTCTTTCCCAGCATGACGACATTGTCTAAGGACTGGCCCCCTGTGACAGCATGGCCTCTAAGCAGCACTCTGACTGCACCTCTGACAAGTCAGATTTTTTTAATTTTTCTTTTAATTCCTTGGGATAATCAATATTCTTTGCTGACACCACAATTAAAAAGCATCAGTTCTTTGGTGTTCCTTACGTATTGTCCAACTTTTGCAACTGAAAATACCATGCCTTGGGTTAGGTGAACTTTAGTCTTTAAAAAGATGTCTTTGCTCTCCAGCACTTAAATCCTTGGCAGCAGATTTTCCCACATGCAACATGCCTTTTGATTCTCAGTTGCGGCTACCATGGGTGTTGATTGTTGAGCCAAGTAAAATGAAACCGTTGACAACTTCAGTCTTCCTTCCATCTGTCATGATGTTGCCCATTGGTCCATTTGGATTGTGACTATGTCCAGTCTGTGGTTTGTCTACTTATTTTTCTAGTGCTGTCTTGAGGTGAGCAGATATCTTTAATCTTATTTTTGAGGTCTGATTCATCAGTCTTTAAATGGTGCGTGACGTGTTATTTCTGCATCTGTTCACTGCCACTGTGAAGCTCTGAGGCCCATCACTAGCTCCCCAAGTGGTCCCAGTGGCAACAGACACCCGTTTTTCCATAGGGATGTCCAGGTGTCCATTTGGTGATAATCTCTATTGAGGAGTTTTGCAGACTTTGCTGAGAATCATCTTAGGGGACAGAGTGAGTCTCTTTCTGGATTCTTACTGTTTTACTCAGCTGTTCTTGCATTGCTCTCTTATTACACTTTCTTGTTTCCTGCTGTTTTCCCCTCCTCACCCTTATCCCACCTCAGTGGACTGTGCCTTGCAGCCCTCTTCCTCCCTTTGCCCCCATGCCTGCCATATGGTTCACCATCCCCAAACCCCCATCCCTATTAAGCCCCCAGCCCCACTCTTCTGTGCCCCTCTCCCCTGCTCCCTTCTCAGCACCCCCAGTCCCCTGAACCCCACTCACTCAAGCACTGTGTGTGAGGCAGCCTGTGCATGGTAGCGGTAGAGGACGAGGCTGTGGTCTACACGGACTATGTGGCCGCCCCTGCGAAGATGCTCCTGGAAGAACAGCAGGTCCTCGGGCACGCCCTGTAGGAAGGCTAGCTTAGGGTTTGTGGGGTGGGGGAGGGCCCAGTAGGGGTTAGGGGTGTGCGGGGAGAGGGTGGGTTAGGGCTGGGTGGGGAGGGGTAACAGGAAGGGTGGGAGAGGAAGAGTGAGGGGGAGGGTTTGTCTAGGTTGAAGGGCCAGCTTGGGCCTCGGGTCCCTGGCAGCCTGGGCTTGAGGTCTTCCCGCTGGGAGCCACAATGCCTTCCTGTAGTCTCACAAGTGGGCTTGGTAACAAACCCTGTCCAGGACTTTCTGAGTAAGCGCTGTCACTCTCGGGCAGCCTGGGTAGTAGCCACACTCTCCCAGAGGGAGCTTGGAAAGAGGAGCTACCAGGCTAGAAGCTCGGCCAGGCCCCACAAAGGATGTCCACTTGGGCACACTTGCCCTTCCAGGATGAGCTGGGTTCGGGGAGGCTGGACACGCAGCTTACTCAGCAGGGCACTCTGCAGTCAACACCACGCTTCCCACCACATAGCAAAAGCCAAGTTGAACAGGGAGAACGGTAACTGAGTTAGTGCTGGGCTTGCTCTCAATCACAGACTTGCCTATGTTCCCATCTCTTCCCCTGAGAAGGGTCAGACCTGGAAGGCAGGCATTCAGCTAATCCAGGCATTGTAGGACTCAGGAACATGCCCTACAGGAGTAGCCTGGGCACCTCTAGGAATTCCTTCTTAATAGCCTGCCAAGAAATGTCAGGCGCCATGGGAGAGACCCCATGTCATCTTCTAGAGGGCAACCATCCTGAAAAGGCTGTTTTTGATGATCAAGTGTCTAACCAGACAGATTTCATATTGAAAGAGAAAAACTGATGGCTTATGACATTAATCAAGATGGATTAATAATAACTGGTGACTGGAATGCAAAAGTCAGAAATAAAGAAGACGGTCTAATAGTTGGAAATTACAGGTTTGGTGACAGAAATGAGGCTAGAGATTAAATGATTGTTACACACTCAATGATTTATTCACTGCAGATAATGTTTTTAAATCATACAAGTGGTGAGTATATACATGGACCCCATCTGTTGGCAGTATTTGTGGAAAGAGTCATTGGAGAAGCTCAGTATTAGCAGTCAGGACTAGGCCAGGTGCTGACTGTCATCAGTTGCTCATGTGCAAGTTCAAATTAAATTTGAAGAAAATGGAAACAATTACACAAGAACCAAAATACGATTTTGAGTCCATCCCATCTGAATTTGAAAACTCTCTCAAGAATAGGTAAGCCTTAAACACTAATGATCAAAGCTCAGATGAGTTACGGATTACGTCAAAGATATTATCCATGAAGAGAGCAAAAGATCATTCATTGTAATGATAGAGGAGGAAGAAAAGACCAAAATGGATGTCAGAAGAAAGTCTCAAAATCGCTCTAGATTGTTGTCCACAACAAGACAAAGGTAAATAATCCAAGTGAAAAATGGGCACAGGATATGAACAGACACTTCACCAAAGAAAACATTCAGATGGCCAAAAAGCACATGAAGAAATTTTAAAATTCCCTAGTTCTAAGAGAGATGCAAATCAAGACAACTATGAGATATCATCTTACCCCAGGAAGAATAGCAAACTTTAACAGAACAGCAAACAACAAATGCTGGCGAGGTTGTGGAGAAACTTGGAACCCTTATTCACTGTTGGTGGGAGTGTGAAATGGTGCAACCACTGTGGAAGGTAGTGTGGCGCTTTCTCAAAAAGTTGCAAATAAAGATACCATTTGACCCAGCAATTCCACTACTAGGAATATACTCCAAAGAGACCATAACTGCCACCCAAGCAGATATACGCACACCCATGTTTATTGTGGCTTTGTTCACAATAACAAGGAGTTGGAAACAAACTAAGTGCCCATCAACAAATGAATGGATAGAGAAGCTGTGGTATATTCAAACAGTGGAATACTATGCTGAATTGAAAAATAAGGATCTCACGCAATATTATTCAAAATGGGTGACCCTGGAGGACATTATCCTGAGTGAAATATCTGTCAAAAAAGGACAAATACTGCATAGTGCCACTGTTGTATAATGGGACTGACATCGGGGTTGGGGGGGAGAATGAGAAAGATGGGATAAATAATGTATACTGCATTGAAACAGATGAAGGAAAAAACTGTTTAAAAGGGATATGTGATTAGGTATTATTGTCATGACCAGAGTCCAGAATGAAGGCTGCATAGTGGAGTGGACCTGGGGGGAGGGATTGATTGTAAAACAATGAAATAATTTTTCTTTTGCTTTTCAAAGAGAAGAGTGTACTGGGGGAAAGGGGTGGGCAGGGAGAAAAGTGCAACAATGAATGAATGGAAATCCAAAGTCTCTGTAAATTTTTATTAAAATAATAAATGTTAAAGAGGGAAAAATCACTCTAGAGTATTAAGAAGTCTAAAACAAGTGGAAGAGATGCTGAAGTAAAAGAGCTGAATAGAACATTTTTTTAATGCGTGTACCGTCAAATTGGATTTGACTGGTACAGGAGGCGACTGTTCCTCCTTCTTCAGCAGAGCATCTGGTGGATTTGAACCATGCACTTCTGGGGTTGCAGTGCAGTTTCCTGCCACTAGGCTGAATAGAACATTTTGAAGGGCCGCTGGATAAGACAAAGCAGAGTATTATAACAGAATGTGCAAAGAGCTGGAGTTGGGAAAGAAAAAGGAAAGAACTCACTCAGCATTTCTAAAGTTGAAAGAACTGAAAAACAAATTTAAGCCTTGAGTTGCAATAGTGAGAGATGGTATGGGCAAAAATCTTGGTGATCCGGGAAGCATCAAAAGAAGATGGAAGTAATACGTAGAGTCACTGTACCAAAAAGAACTGGCCAACACTGAAATATTTCAGCAAGTACCATGTGTACAAGTGCCAATGGTAATGAAGAAGTTTAAGCTTCATTGAAAGCATTACCAAAAAATAAGGCCCCAGGAATTGATGGGATGCCAACTGAGATGTTTTAAATGACAGATGCAGCCCTGGACATGCTCACCAGTCTGTGCCAGGAAGTTTGAAAGACAGCTACTTGGCCAAGTGACTAGAAGAGATCCATATTTGTTCCCCTTCCTGAGAAAGGTGGTCCATCAGTATGTGGAAATTATCATTAATATTACGTGCATGCAAAATCTTGCTGAGGATTATTTGCAAACATCTAGAACAGTACATCGACAGAGAACTTCCAGATATTGAGGGTGGATTTAGAAGAGGCCTTGACACCAGGGATATCATTGCTGATGTCAGACAGATTCTGACTGAGAGCAGAGAATCCAGAAGAATGTCTATTTGTGCTTTATTGACTATGCAAAGGCATCTGATTGTGTGGATCACAACAAATTATGGCTGACCTTGAGAAGAATGGGAATACCAGGACACTTAATTATGCTTATATGAAACCTATACATAGACCAAGAAGCTATTGTCCATATAGAGCAAGGGAACACTACATGGTTTAAAATACCTAAAGATGTGCATTAAGGCTGTTTTCTTTGCCATACCTATTCAATCTGTATGTGGAACAAATCATTCAAGAAGCTGGACTTTAGGAGGAAGAATGTGGCATCAGGATTGGTGGAAGACTCATCAACAACCTGTTTTACAGAGGTGACACAACCTTGCTTCCTCAACGTGAGGAGGACTTGAAGCACTTTCTGTAGAAGTTAAGACTATAGGCTTCAATATGGGTTACATCTCAACATCAAGAAAACAAAAATCCTCACTGTTTGACTTGAGAGAAGATCCATAATCAACAACCTTGGTACCAGTAGTCAGGAAATCAAAAGATGTGTGTTGCACTGGGAAAGTCTGCAGTCAAGTATCTCTTCAAAGTGCTGCAGAGCAAGGTTGTCAGTTCAAAGACCAAGGGGCATCTGATCCAAGCTGTCTTTTCAATCACTTCCTATACATCAGAGAGTTGGACAGTGAAGAAAAATGACAGAAAAATCGAGTTTATATTGTGGTATTGGAGAAGAGTCCACTATCCATGGACTGCCACAAAAACCAACATGTATGTCTTGGAGAAAGTGAAGCTAGAGTGCTCCTACAAGGGAAGCAGGTGAAGAAACTTCATCTTACAGTCTTTGGGCACGTAGCTAGGAGGGGCTAGTCCTTGGGAAAGAACATCACGCTGTGAAAGCAGAGTTTGTGAAGGAGGGGAAGACCTTCCGTGAGATGGATTGTCACTGTGACCTTAACAATGGCCAGGTGTGGCAGAGGTGAGAAGATGGCACAGGATGGGGCAGGGTTCAGACCTGTTGTTCACAGGGTCATTCTGAATCATTGCTGACCCGGCAGCCAAGGCCCCATCTAGAGGCCAGCTCTGTGCACCTGCTCTTCTCTTATTCTGCCTCTCTCCTAAAAGTGCTGAATGATCATGAGATCCCCCTCACCCTTAACCTAGCCTATCAGGACTCCTTCAGAATCTTCCCTTGCTGAGACAATTGGGAAGTTCATAAAATACCTGCTTTTCCCAATCCAGTTCCTGTCTTCAAAATGTGTGTGTGGTTTGTTTGGTTTTTTTCTTAGCAGGTGGCAGCACTATTTTTCCAGTTAACAGGAGGGCTCCTGGAAACTGAGAAGATGGGGCATGGCCCCAAACCTTCCTGCAGGTCCTTTTTCACAGAAACAGTTGAGGCCATACACGTGTATGCCATCACCGTGTGGACAAACTAATTTCCAGCTGGGCAGCCAGTGCCCAGGGCCTCAGGGACGGGGCATCCAGGAGAAGTGGGGAACAGGGTGTCCAGGAGAGGGGGATGGAAGACTAGGAGAAAAGGGATCAGCATCCAGGGGAGGTGGGTTGAGGCATCCAGAAGAAAGGGGGATGGGGTATCCAGGAGGAGGGAAATGGAGAGTCCAAGATAGAGTATGGGGCATCCAGGAGAAGGGGTATGAGCATCTAGGAGAAGGGGGGACAGGGTGTCTAGAAGAAGGGGGATGGAGAGTCCAGAAGTTTGGGGTGTCCAGGAAAAGGGGAACAGGGCTTCCAGGAGATGGGGGTGGGGCATCAGGAGAAGGGGGATGGGGTGTCCAGGAAAAGGGTGACAGGAGAAGGGGACAGGGCAGGTCCATCTGAACACCACCCAACAGTCCTAGGAAGGAAGAGTGTTTTTTATTGTGAGGAGTTCAGAGGGTAAAATGGGTACTTTCCTCAGATTCAAGGGTCTCACGAAAGTAGAGCAACATGGGCACTTAGAATTCAGAAACAGAATCCAAGATTGCCACCCCCAACAATTCCATGCAAGAGCTGCACGTCACCACAGTACCACAAGGGAGCGGTCTTGAGCTGATAATTGTGTGCCCCATAGACCAGCACAAGAAACGACAAAAGCCGAGTTGAGGGGCGAGGGGAAATCCACATTTCTGTCAAGAAACAGCGTGCTGCATCTGTGACACTTATCTCAACACAATGTCAGGATGTGGGGGAGAAGCATCTGAAAGACAAAGTCAACAAAGACAAAGCTCTACCTCTTCCCTAATGAATGAGGAAGATGATAAACAGAAGGTGACATTACAAGGTCCTTCAGGAAAAGCAGATTTGAGTGTAAAAATTTGAGAAAAAACTTGAAAAATTTTCGAAAATAAGAAAGAAAGTGAAGATGATATTAAAAAAGTAAAACAGGATTACAAAGGAAGTTTTTGAAATGAAAAACAAAGAAATCTAACCAATACATAACTGGAGCCTGAACTAGAAAAACAAATCAGATATGTAATACTTTAATCCAAGAAAATATTCGGAAATGAAAAAGGATCTGACTCAAGGGGGTAAAAGGTTGACTATCTTTAAGATAATTCTAGTAAGAGTAAACGTTCCAGGAAAGAGATCCCATACTGAAATCAGCACCAGCCTTCTCAATAGCAAAATACAAAGCAAGGAAAGGATGGACCGGTGCCTTCAAGAAAAGACCATTCCATCAACAGTAACTAATTATACAATATATATGAATGTATGAAACATAATATAAATGAAAGGTTGTACAAGATACAATGTACATGAATGAAACAAATTATTGTATGAAAAGAAATTTTAAAAAGAAACAATGATAAAGACAAAATAAAGGATCTTCTAGTCAGAGAATAACAGACTCTGAAGGTCAAAAATTTAAAGAACAGTGCAACCCCCACTGCGGGGCTCCTCATGGTCAGCATTTAACTGCAGCTTTAACCATGACAGGGACAGAAGGAGGAGAAGCACATATGGATGCTGATGTTGTGGCACTCTCAGATAATAATGCAATAGAAAAAGGAAAGAAAATAGAATAACGTCACAGACTGTCACATAGGTAACACATAGGATTCAAAACACTTTAAAAATAGGCAAGAACTGACTATGAAAGGTTTGATGAGAAAACATGAGATGAAGGCATGAAACCCCGTTCCTGTCCAGTTGGCCGACTCCTGGTGAACCACTGGGTTCCAAGGCTGTAACTCTGTACAGGAAGCGGCTGCTCATCCCGTGGCACGCACGGTAGATGCAGACCTTTAGGGGAATGCAGCAAAGCACTCTCTCAGTGGAGTGAGATAAAGGGGCTACAGACAGCCACTAAAAAAAAAAAAAGTATCCAAAGTGCTAAATAAAGACCAGAAGAATGTCTATTTGTGGTATAGTGACTGTGTGGATCCTAACAAATTATGGCTAACATTGAGAAGAACGAGAATTTCAAAACACTTCATTGTGCTCATACAAAACTTAGACCTAGACCAAGAAGCTGTTGTGCAAACAGAGCAAGGAAACTCTACATGGTTTAAAATGAAGAAAAGTGTGTATCAAAGGTTGGATTGTCTTTTTATACCTATTAAATCTGTATGCTAAGCAAATTATTGGAGAAGCTGGACTCTATGAAGAAGAATGTGGCACCAGGATTAGATAAACACTCATCAGTAACCTTTGCTACGTAGATGTCAAGTGCTTACCATAGAAGATCAAAGACTATGACCTTCAATATGGATTACATCTCAATGTCAAGAAAACAAAAATTCTAACCAATGGACTGATAGGCAACATTATGACAGATGGAGAAAACACAAACTGTCAACTTCATCTTACTTAGATCCACAATCAATACACTCGGTTCCAGCAATTGGACCATCAGACGATGTATTACACTGGGAAAATCTGCACTCAGGGACCTGTCCAAATTACTGAGGAGCAATGATGTTAGTTTGAGGACTAAGGTACACCTGATGCAGGCCATGGTCTTTTTTAATTACTTCCTCTGCACCTGAGGGTTAGATAACGAATAAGAATAACAGAATTATTTATGCCTTTGAGCTGTGGTGTTGGAGAAGAGTGCTGAATATCTTATGGACTATCAAAAGAAACTGATGTGTCTTGGAGAAGGTACAGCCAGGCACAGATGGTAATGTTTTGTCTTGTGTACTTTGGGCATGTTATTAGAAGAGGATGTTCCTTGGAGAGGGCTATCATGCTTGGGAAAGTGGAGGGTTGGTGAAAGAGAAGACCACCCTCAAGCCGATGGACTGACATAGTAACTTGCAATGGGTTTGAGTATGTCAGTGATTGTGAAAAGGGCACAGGCTAGGACAGGGCTCAGATCTCTGTTCATAGTGTTGCTGTGAGTCATACTCAACTTGATGACACCTAACAACAGCAAATAAATACCAGAAGAGTCAGCAGGTTTTCAAGCTGGACAACCCAGCAGGGTCTCCATGCCTCAAACATCAGCATCAGCTTGTCTGCAGAAGGCACATAGGGGTCAAGGTCTGGTCCAGGTGAGCTCAGCGAGTCCCTGAAGTCATCTGGGGCTTTGGACTCAGTGGTGACCATGGAGAGCAGGTTGGTTATGGCTGAGGTAAGGCCTGGAGTGGCACAGGCATTAGGCTGGGGTTCTCATGGTCCCCATGCAGGAAGGAAAACCAAGGCACACTACCAGCCACTGAGCATGAAAAGGAGTCTCCAGTACCCTAGGAGTAGAGGGGCATCTAAGGGTGGCAGGTAGGCAGGTGTGCTGGGCACCATGCGGGGAGTCCTGTGGGCCATGATGGTGTCTGTCTCAGCTGTGCACAGAATGTCAGCATTCAGGAGTGTGTGGTAAACGTGCTGTTACTGTTGGCTTCTGCCTGGACCTGCCCTGCCAGCCTGGGTGTCCACTGGAAAACCCAGTCTGTCCAGCTGTGCCCAGGTCCCCTGCTGCCTACCTGGTTTCCTTCTTGCCCACTGGTGACTGGGTCTTACTGGGTTATCAGAAGTGAGTGGTACGCAGGGAAGCCTCTGTCCCACATACATGGCCTCGTCAAGAGAAAACTATTAGTTCTCAGAGCCCCATTAAGGGAAGTTGGAGGGAAGATAAGCTGATCAAGTTAAGATTTGTTTTTCATGAGGAAGTTTACACCCTGACTCTCCACCGATCAGGAGTACTGAGGGATAGTCACAGGTAGAGGTCAGGGGCCCCACACTTCAGCTCCCAGGAACCCTTTCCTGGGAGCACAGACGTGGATGCCAAGGCTGCATGGGGCACTACTCCACTTCTCCAGGCCTGCAGGGGGACACCCTGCTTTTCCAGATGGCCATCCTTCTAGTCATCCTGGCCTTTCCTCCCACTACAGCTCTTTGGCTGCTGTAGTTCACCTGGACTCAGCAGATTTGACTCACATCTTCTCTTCTGCTTTTAGCAAGGAAAGGAGGTGAATGTCTGTGGGCACAGCTTGGGGGGGGGTGTCTCTGAGCTGCAGACATCCTTAGGGTGGGGCTCCAACTTGCAGATAGAGCTTGTGGGGGGGCTCTGACCCGCAGACACAACTGGGGGGGCTCTGATCCGCAGACACAGCTGGGGAGGCTCTGACCCGCAGACAAAGCTGGGGGGGGCTCTGACCTGCAGACACAACTGTGGGGGCTCTGACCTGCAGACACAACTGTGGGGGCTCTGACCCGGAGACACAGCTGGGGGGGCTCTGACCCGCAGACACAGCTGGAGGTGTTCTGACCTGCAGATACAACTGGGGGGCTCTGACTTGCAGACACAGCTTGCAGGAGGGTGAGATGCTGTGAGGGCAAGACTTAGTGAACAAAACCCGTCCCCTTAGACTCCTCCGGGCTTTAGCACCCCCTACCCCAGTACTCACCTGCCCGCCCTCATCAAACCAGCCTACATGGGAAAACCATGCTCTGGAGCAGAACCAGGTGGGCATGATCACTGTGGGGCCGTGTGAGGTGAAAACCTGTAACAGGAGAGGTGAGTTAGCAGAAAAGCTCACAACAGACAACCTGCAGGTTGTTCCCACCAAAGCAGGACAAGCACACTAAAGAGTTCAAGGAGCTAGACTCATCCTCCCCCAGGTAACAGGGGAGGAGGGCCTTCCCAAGGTTAGACATCAATGTCCAGACACTGACCAGCCCAGCCCAGTTCTCCTTGTCTGTGTTGATACTTGCTGTTTGTCCTAACACCCTCTGCCATTGATAAAAATGTTATTTATAAACTGTTGTTGTTATGTGCTGTCGAGTCGCTTGCGACTCATAGCAACCCTATGTACAACAGCCCTAAACTCTGCTCTGTCCTGTGCCAATCGCACCGTCTCAGACACAACCATCCCGATTACCCCAGTCACTGAATCCACCTTATAGGGGGCCTTCCCCTTCTGCGCTGTCCCTCCACCCTACCAAGTATGATGTCCCTCTCGAAGGACCTGTCCCTCCTTGCTACATGTCCAGAGTATGTCAGATGGAGCCTTAGAATCCTTGCCTCCAAGGAGCAGCCCGGTTTGACCCTTTCCAAGATGAATCTGTTTTCCTAGCAGTCCATGGTACCCTCAATACTCTTCTCCAGCACCACAGCTCAAAGGCGTCAATTCTCCTTCTATCCTCCTTAGTCACTGTCCAACTCTCTGATGCATAACAAGGAAAAAAGAAAAAAACAAACCTATCTACACACCAGCTCTACAAGACACATCACCTTCGCTTGGAAAGCACTGCCACTGAACTTAAGAGACAATGGTCATGTTATAAGAAACTGTCTGAAGCTGATGTATTTGGAATCACAGAAGCCAAGGAAGCTTCATATATAGACTATCAGATCAAGGACAGGACAATGGGAGATGGATGTTGAAGAGAGTGGGTAGAAGTGGATGGGTATCCTGGTGGATGGTGGAGCAGGGAAATAAGTGGGTAGTAAAGACACGTGTGCCAAGAGCAGGGACAACACTGATACAAATGGTTAACTCCACAGGTTGTGACCATTCCTTGGGTATGAGCAGGTGCAGGTGTGAGTGTGAGAGGGTGGGAATGGGTGCAAGCAAGTGTGCAGGTGGAGTTGTGAGAGGGTGTGCATGAGTGAGTGAGCTGATGCAGGTGTGAGCAGGTGGAGTGGTGCAAGAAGGTGCAGGTATGAGTGGGTGTGAGGAGGTGTGAGCATGTCCTAGCAGGCGGCGCAGGTGTGAGCAGGTGTGGGTGTGAGTAGATGGGGCAAGTGAAACAGGTGAAAGTAGGAGCTGTCCCTGCTTCTGAGCATTCATAGTCCTCCGGTGTCGCATTCCAGCAAGACAGAACTTGTCATAGCACACTCAGAACCCAGTCCCAGACACATTTGGAATTAATTTATTTGAAGGTGCGTGGGTCCTGTGTTTAATCTGCTGCCATGTGGAGATTATCTGTGGAGAGCTGGGTGGCAGCAGGTGGTGTCTGCAGGTGGCCGCTTCTTTCTGGTCCATCTCTTCCCAACAGAGTATCTGTTCAAGGTGGAACTAGCCCTTCTCCTGGGGTGTCTGTTGAGGTCACTCGGTGGGTGGGTTTTGCTGTTTAGTGAGAAGGTTTATAGCTGCACATTTTTAATAGATGTGAGGTCTTTCAGATCCTCTATTTCATTAACACATGATTTCCTGGTTTGTTGCTAAGCTGTTGAATTTACTGGGTGTTGTCCACAATATCTCTTTACTGCTTGAGCAAGTGTACAGTCTGCAGATGCATCACTTCTCTCATTCCTGACAGGATTAATGTGTCTAATAATTTTATATCTCTGGAGTAATATATGACCATTTGACTCAAAATGCCCCATGCCGGTCCATCTCATCTCCCCAATGCCTAGTATGTCAATGTTTATGCATTGCATTACTTTCTTAACAATATCTTATTTTCCTACATTCATGGTTCTCACGTTCCATGTTCCAATCACTAGTGTCTGCTTACAACAGTTCCTCTTCCTTTGTATTTCCATACTTGAAAGTTCTACCTCTGTTGCCCTCTCTGTTAGTTTACATGTGTTCTGTTCTATATGGGGTTTTCAGAGGCTTGCTATTTCAGAAGTGGATGGCCAATCCTTCTTCCTAGTCTGTCTTAGCCTGAAGGTATATTTAGAGGAGTATCTGACAGACAAGCAATTTATAGAACAGTGAAAGATAAATCCCTCATTGTGGAGTTAACCATTAGTTACAGTGTTGTCCCAACTGACTGGAAGAGATCTATATTTGTTCCCATTCCAAAGAAGGGTGACCCCAAAGAGTGTGGAAACTATAGAACTATATCATTGATTTCACATGCAGGCAAGATTCTACTGAAGATTATCCAAGAATGACTGGAACAGCACATCAGCAGAGAACTGCCAGAAGTCCAGTCTGGGTTTAGAAGGGGTCTTGGTACTAGGGATATTGTAGCTGATGTTAGATGGATTTTAGCTGAAAGCAGGGAATACCAGAAGAATGTCTATCTGTGTTTCATTGATTATGCAAAGGCATTTGACTGTGTGGATCATAACAAACTGGGGCTGACTCTGAGAAGAATGGGAATCCCAGAACACTTGATCGTTCTAATGTGAAACATATACTTGGACCAAGAGGCAGTCGTCAGAACAAAGCAGGGTAACACTCCATGGTTCAAAATTGGGAAGGGTGTACGCCAGGGATGTGTCCTATCTCCATACCTTTTCAGCCTGTATGCAGAGCAGATTATCAGAGAGGCTGGGTTCTATGAGAAGTGTGGCGTCAGGATTGGTGGAAGATCTATTAACAATCTGCGTTATGCAGATGACACAACCCTGCTTGCTGAAACTGAGGAAGACCTGAAATGCTTGCTGCATAGGGTCAAGGACTGCAGCCTTCAGTATGGATTGAGGTTCAATGTCAAGAAGACAAAGATTCTCACCACTGGGCCAATAGGCAGCATCAGGATGGATGGTGAAGAGATTGAGATTGTTAACAATTTTAGTCTGCTTGGCTCAATGGTCAACACTCTTGGCACCAGTAGCCAGGAAATCAAAAAACGTATTGCGATGGGAAAGTCTGCTGTTAGGGACCTCTCCAGGGTACCGAAGAGCAATGGTGTCTCTCTGGAGACTAAGGTGCGTCTGATACAGGCTATGGTCTTTGCAATCACTTGTTATGCATCAGAGAGTTAGACAATGACTAGGGAGGATAGAAGGAGAATTGACGCCTTTGAGCTGTGGTGCTGGAGAAGAGTATTGAATGTACCATGGACTGCCAAGGAAACAAACAGATTCATCCTGGAGAGGGTTAAACCAGGCTGCTCCTTGGAGGCAAGGATTCTGGGGCTTCATCTGACATACTTTGGGCATGCTGTAAGGAGGGACAGGTCCTTGGCGAGGGACATCATGCTTGGGAGGGTGGAGGGACGGCACAAGAGAGGAAGACCCTCTATGAGGTGGATTGATTCAGTGACTGGGATAATCGGGATGGGTGTGTCAGAGGCAGTGCGGTTGGCATAGGATAGAGCAGAGTTTAGGGCTGTTGTACATAGGGTTGCTATGAGTCGTAAGTGACTCGATGGTACATAACAACAACAATCGTTTTATGGACCCATTTGTCTATCTAGAAGTTTTCTTGTGGGGTTTTTTTTTTAACCTTCCCACAGAACTTCTGATTTCACTAATTTCTGTTTTTCTATTTTAGAGATTGTCTTTTAGTTATTTCTTTTCTGCCTCTCTATTTCATTTTTTTTGTTCTATTTTTTTTTTAAGTAGAAACTGACATCATTGATTTGAGACTTTTATTAATTTCTGTTCTGTGGATTTATGCCATCTTTATACATTGGTATCTATGCTTATGCTATACCTATATGTCTTGCATATTTATGTGTATACGTTGTATTTATATATTTAGATGTACATTTATGCTATAAACAAATTTGCTTCTAAGTACTGTTTCAGGGAATCTCAATTTTGATAAGTTTTCATTTTCATTCACCTCAAAGTACCTTCTAATTTCCATTTTGTTTTCCTCATTGATCACTGGCTTATTTATAATGTGCTATGTATGGAGTTTGTGAAATTTAGGAATTTTCCAGGTAACTTTCTATATTGGTATCTAGTTTAATTGTAGACAGAAAGTTCTTGAACCCATGGGGACTCATTTGTGGCCAGAAAATGACACCAAGTTCCCTCACCATCTTAGCTGAGGTTTGTTCTGCTGTTGCTGTTAGAATGTTCCAACAGGTGTGGTCACCAGTGCACAGTACAGTAACCAAGGACACTCAAGTGACAGCACCCCAATTCATCAGTGAAAGCCATGGAGTTGGCCTCCTAGCCCTGCTGCCCACAAGCTTGGAGCTACCTATGAACTGAGGGGCCTTAACAGCAGTATGACCTCCACAAGGACCCCCAGAGGTGAGCCACTGTACTGTGCAAGATTCCCGAGGAAGAAATTCCAGAAATATCCTGTACTGTGCAAGATATTCTTCTGAGGAAGAATATTTCCAGAAAGCCAAGTATTAGCAGTATTCTGCTACTAATCTGGATTATAACCTTTTGACTTTCCCAGCATGGTTCTCTGTGGTCTGTGAATTATCACACTGGGATTTTGGACACAGCAAAGCAGTAAGATTGGTGTTGAGATGAGTGGAAAGAGGTATAGGAGCACAGGGGACATGTCCGATCTCATGGGAATTGTCTTTATATTACTGATATTGTTAGTGGGGATAGTTCCCCTTAGTGAAGTTAGTAAAGGTCAGATACAGTCAAACATGGCCCTTGTTATTTTTACAGCTGGTGTTAGAAGTGGGATCAACACAATGGCTCCAGACTCTTGGAAATGTGGGAGTTGGAAAGAAGTGAGGGGTTTGGGAAGTGCAGTTAAAATGGCTACTTTTGCTGGACTAAAATGGAGGGAAAAGGTAAATGACTTTTGGCCTGAAGCTATATGCATATGAAGGAGCTAAATTAAGTGTGGAGAATGAAGTTGAAACTGTTAATTCATTGAAAGGTTTATGTATTAAGGTT